TTTCTTTTTAACTTTCAATACTTATTGATATATGCTTATAAGATAAAAATATATGTTATATCCCAAACCAAATCTATTGCCATTGAGTCGATTCCAATTCCTGGTGACCCCAGGTGTTACAGAGCAGAATTGTTCCATTGAGTTTTCATGGCTGTCATCTGCATGTAAGAAGAACACCAGGCCTTTTTTCTGCGACACTGCTGGTTGGGCTTGAGCTTCTCAACCTCTTCGTTAGCAGCAAAATAAAAACCACTGATGTCATCTTGAGATCTATCTATTATATTGGATCTAGAATCTCTCTAAACTATCATAGGAATGTTTTTTACTCTTAAAAAATTATCCCACTTTTGTCCAAAACACAGTCCAACTTCGTAGTGTTGGAAAGTCTAGAACTCATATTATGTTCTCTTAATACTCTTTCCCATTTTTTAAAATGTTAAGATTTCTGCAGAAATTGTGGATTCCATATTTGAGGTAAGAAAACCACAAAATAAGTCTAGAACATCTCTCCAGACTGAGAAATTATCCAGGACTACTGAAATCTTTTCAAAAGAACTTCAGAGTCTGAAGAGGCTTCAACAAGATTGAAATGAGACAATTTTGGAATCAGTAATAATAAGAAATGAGAGTGAGTGGAATATATCAGGATTATTTTAAAGTTGTGAGTTGATAAAGCTAAAATATACAATTCAACGATCATTTTGGATGATGCTAATTATTTGCTCAATTACAAGCTGCTAAGTTTAGGTAAATAGGTAATCATTGTTATAGCCTTTCCTGTATGAATTTTACTTCAAAGTAACCAAGGACACATTTCAGTTAATAATTGAAGCAAATGGTAGAATTATAATGTTACCATTTTGCAGCTCATGGTATAACCGCAACTCAGCTGTCAGTTTGTCATACTATGATTGTTTGCATGTTGCTATGATTCTGGAAGCTATAAAATAGTGAAGATGTACAGACAAAATGCCCCTTAGACGCAAGGACGGTGTGGTAGTTATATAATCATTTGTCAATTTGAGGATTAAGAGTGTAGGGGTGGAGTCTAGCCTGTCAATCAGATCATAGCCAATGAGGCCTCTATGTGGGTATGGGCTTCTCCTGAGAATTCTGGGAAATCCTGCATTTCTTCCTTGGAGGTGGGAGACACTTCCCTCTCTCTGCTCACTCCCTGGGAGACACTGCAGTTGACAAGACACATGGAACTACACTAGAGCCCTGAGCTGGAGAAGTCACATGGACCTACCCAGATGCAACCAGACCTCTGAAGCCAGAGAAGATCCCATGGCAGCGCTGAGATGCTTACAATGCCACTGGATCCAAAAACTTTCTACCCACTGCCCTGTGATCATCCTGTATTCAGCATCGTTGCATGTGTTTCATGAGTCTGAAGAGGACTTTATAGATTGGTATCTGTCTATGGGCTAATAATCAGACTTATGGCCTTGGACTGGACTGGGCTGGGATGCTTTCTTAATGTACAATTCCCATTTATAAAAAAAAACTCTCTTTTATAGGCATATGAGTTTCTTTGGACTTGCTTCTCTAGTCTAACTAGACTAATACAGACAGTGAGACTTAAAGTTTCACGTAACTGTGGACATGTTATCAGGAGGGACCAATGACTGAAGAAGGAATCATGCTTGGTAAAGTTGTTAGGTAGGGTCACGTCCATTGTGACTCATAGCAACCCTTTGAAAAGAATCAAACAGTCACTGTCCAGTCCTGCAATATCCTCCAAATTGTTATGTTTGAGCCTTGTTGCAGCCACTGTGTCAATCCACCATATAAAGCAGTGGTTCTCAACCTGTGGGTCATGACCCCTTTGGGGGTCGAACAACCCTTTTACAGGGGTCACCGATTCATAACAGTTGCGAAGTAGCAACGAACGTAATTTTATGGTTTGGGGGTCACCACAACATGAGGACCTATATTAAAGGGTCGCGGCATTAGGAAGGTTGAGAACCACTGATATAAAGCATTTCCTCTTTTTCTCTGGCCCTCTACTTTATCATGCACAATATCCTTTACTAGGGACTGGTCTCACCTGATAACATGTGCAGAGTATGTGGCAGCCTCGCCATTCATGCTCCAAGGAACATTCTGTTTGTACTTCTAAGATAGATTTATTTGTTCTTTTGCCAGTCTATCATACTTTCAATATTCTTAGTCATCACCATAAGCCAAATGAATCCATTTTTATTCAGTGTCCAAGCTTCACATGCATATGAGCTGATTGAAAGTACCATGACTTGAGTCAGGCCCACCTTAGTCCTCAAAGTAACATCCTTGCTTTTCAAGAATTTAGAGTTCTTGTGGAACAGATTTACCCAATGCAAGGCATCATTTGATCTCGACTGCCACTGCTACGTGCATTGATTGTGGGTCCAAGCAAGACAAAATCCTTGGGAACTTCAATCTTTTCTCCATTTATCACAATGGTTCTTACTGGTACATTTGTTAGAATTTTTGTCTTCATTGCAGTGAGTTGTAACCCATACCGAAGGTTGAATCCTTGATCTTAATCAGCTAGAACTTCAAGTCCTCCTGACTTTCAGCAAGCAAGGCTGTGCCATCTGCCTTGTTGCCTTCCTCCTATCTTGATACTACATTCTTTCTCATATAATCCGGCTTCTCTGATTATTTGCTCAGCATACAGATTGTATAGTAGGATGAGAGGATACGACCCTACTGCACTTGTCTTGATTTAAAACTATGTAGTATTCCCTTATTCTGTTTGAACAACTGCCTCTTGATCCATGAATGAGTTCGCCATGAGCACAATGTACTATTTGGGAATTCCCATTCTTCTGAAGGCTATCCATAGTTTGTCATAGTCCACACAGTCAAATGCCTTGGAATAGTGTATATAACACAAGTAAATATCTTTCTGGTATTCTCTGCATTCATTCAAGGTCCATATGACAAGAACAATGATATCCCTTATTCCATGTCTGCTTCTGAATCCAACCTGCACCTCTGGCAGCAATCTAATGTTTGATGCTCTTCAGCAAAACCTTACTTAAGGTTACTGTGCTATAATTAGGAGCCCTAGTAGTTTAGCTGTTATGCATTACATTGTGATTCTCAGGGTCAATTGTTGGAAACTTCCAGCAGCTTCTTAGGAGAAGGGCACAACTTTCTTTTACCATAAACAGTTTCGGTCTCAGAAGTTTAGGGGCAGTTCTATTCTGAACTAGAGGGTTACAATGAATCAGTATTGCTTCATTGGCAGTAAGTTTAGAGTGAGTTCAATAATTTTTACATTCTGTTGTGTCACCTTTCTTTGGAATGGGTACAAATACGAATCTCTTCCAGTCACTTGGCCAAGTGGCTCTCTTTCAAATTGATTGGCATAAACGAACTTTCAGTGTTTCACCAGGTGTTGAAATATTTCAATTGATATTCCACCAATTTGCAGAGCCCTGTTTTTGTCTAATGAAGCGGTTCTCAACCTGTGGGTCGCGACCCCTTTGACAGTTGAATGACCCTTTTACAGGGGTCGCCCAATTCTTAACAGTAGCAAAATTACAGTTACAAAGTAGCAACAAAAATAATTTTATGGTTGGGGGTGAGGCTCACCACAATATGAGGAACTGTATTAAAGGGTTGTGGCATTAGCAAGGTTGAGAACCACTGGTCTAATGCCTTCAATGCAGCTTGGACTTCTTCCTTTGGTATCATTGGTTCCTGATCACATGCTACCTCCTGAAATAGTTGAATGTTAAGTGTCTTTTGGGTACAATGACTCTGTGTATTTGTTTCATCTTCTTTTTGTTATTTCCTGTATCCTTCCCTATTTTGCCCATAGCATCTTTCAACATTGCAAATCAAGGGTTGACTGTTTTATTGAGTTTTTTTCAGTTGATGATATGCTGAGCATGTTCTTTCCTTTTGGTTTTATAACTCTAACTCTTTGCACATTTCACTGTACTATTTGACTTTGTCTTCTTGAGCTGTCCTTTGAAATTTTCTGTTCAGTTTTTTTGACATAATCATTCTTCCATTTTCCTTAACTACTCTACAATTAAGAGCAAGTTTCTGAGTCCATTTAATCTTTTCCCTCTGTCGTTGTAATGATCTCCAGCTTTCTTTATATATCGTTTTTGTTTTCAATGTTTCCATGCTATCCTGAAAGATTTTGAAAATTGTCCTTGAATTGTTCTTTTTAAAAAAAAGTTTTCTTGGCATATAATTCACATATAATACAATTCAATAGTTCAATCATATCCAGAAGAACTGTATAATCATTACCCAAATCCATTTTAGAATATTTTCTTTTTTAAAATATGGTGTTTTTTATGTTATCCCATGGTTAATGCAGCTCTTCTGTTATTAGTAGTGAATGTGTTAACTCTTTTCTTGAGATGTTTTTAAAGTTTAGGTGGTCATATTTTGGCTTTAGTGCACTTGTTTTAATTTTTTTCAGTTTCAACCTGAACTTGTATATGAGCTATTGAGGGCCTGTTCTGCAGTTGGTCCCTGACCTCATTTTAGCTCCTGATATTGTCTCTTCCTACAGATGTAGTCAATTTTATTTCTGTGTATTCCATCTGGAGAAGTCCATGTGTATAGAAATCCACTATATAGGTGGGCTTCTCAAAATATTACCTATTGTGTTGTTGAAAAAAGTTATTTGTGACGAGGAATCACTGGTTTTGCAAAATTCTATCATGTGATCTCCAATTTCATTTCTATTATCAAGGCCATATTTTCCAACGACTTTTCCTTCCTTTGTTTCTAAAGAGGCAATTGCATTTCAATTGCCAATAATTGTCAATGGATATTGATTGCATGTGTGATGATTTACAGGCTGAAGGCCATGGTAAAATTCCTGTTTCTGCACCATTAGCTTTAGTGGTTGGTGCATCAATTTGAATAACAGTTGTATTGACTGGACGTGGAAGAGTAGAGGGTACAAAATGAGGGAGGTAATAACAAATGAAGAAGACCCTCAATGGTTGACACAATGGCTACAACAACGGGCTCAAAAACTGGAAGGATTGTGAAGATGTCTTGGGCCCAGGCAGTGTTTTGTTCTGCTTTAAATTGGGACATTTTAAGTAGAACCTAAAAACAATGAGAGAGTGAGGGAAGTGGTAGTTTAGTCGTAGAATTCTCACCTTTTATGTGAGACTCCTTGGTTCCATTCTTGGCCAACACACTTCTAGCAACACACTTAGTCAACACACATCTGTATGGAGACGTATGTGTTCTTATGATGCAAAGCAGATTTCAGTGGATCACTCAGATTAAGAAAAACTAACAAGGAAGGCTTTCTTTGCAATCTACTTCTGAAAACCTTGTAGATCACAACAGCTCCAACATGCTGTGCATTAGCTTGAGTAGAGGTCTTACTCAATGGCAGTTAACAATGAAATGATAGACATACACAGTAATCATCAATGGATGATGATCCAAAATGATATCCAAATATTTCTTGAACTTGATGGAAATTCACAACACCATATATGGAGGAATCTTGACAAAATAAATAATAAATGAACCTTTAATCAAACCACTAGATTGAACTTCCAAGTTTCTTTACAGATGAATTTCTAAAGTGACAGCAAAGGGTGTAATATGCAAAATCTAGAAATTGAGAGACAATACACAGACTGTCCAACTTACTCATAAATGAATTTTAAGGGAAAAAGAGAGGTATTTTTAGATTGAATGATATATGTCAACCAAGTACAATAACAAATGGACCTTTTTTGGGCTTTTGGTTAAAACAAATTGAAAACAAATGATTATGAAGAAATTTGGGATTTTGGGATTCTGCATTGAGTAATGAGATTAAGAACTTATAAATTATTTTAGTAGTGAAAATGATATTGTTATATTTTTAAGAATCAATATACTTTAAAGGTACAGAATGAAATATATAGGAATGAAATGACATAATACTTTGGATTTGTTTCAAAATAATCTCTTGGTAGTGGTAGTAGAGGATTTGTGAAAATGAAGATAAAGATGGGCTATATAGAGATCCTTTTTAATGCTGATAGTACATAGGTATACATAGATTTTATTGTTTTATCTACTTTTGTGTATATTTGGCCATTATCATATTAAAAAGAATAAAATATTTCAAGAAATATAACTTACATTAATACTTCGAGATAATTTCCTCTCAAGTATCAATTCAACATCTGGAAAAGAAATATTTGGGTTCTTTGGTTTACTAGATGTTCTCATATGCAGAACACGATTCCCATCTTGTAGGAAAGGCACAGCATCAGGTAGCTCCCATATCACCATGAGGAAAACATCTTCTTCATTTCCCTTTAGTAGAAATTCAGTAAGTACATAAAAATTAATTATTCATAATAATAATGGTTCCAGGGGAGAGGAGGTTGGGAGGGAGGGGATAAAGGAGATCAAGGAGTTCTAGTAGAAAGAAAATGTTTTGAAACATTGTGGTAGCAATCGAACCATAATGCTTTTTGTGATTGAATTATGGAATGTTATGCTATCTGTAAGAGCTCCCAATAAAATTATTAAAAATTAAAACAAAAATTTTTATAAGCTGCTTCTAGAGAAAAGTATAAAAAATAGAGCATATACTCAAATACCCAACACCCAACTTCATCAAATATTTTTGTGTTATTAGTTGCCGTCAAGTTAGCTCTTAGATATAATAGTAACCTTATGTAGAATAGATTGAAATGTTGTTTGTTCCTGTACTATATTCATGACTTAGTATATTTGGGCCTATTGTATCAGTCCATTTCATTAAGATTTCAAAAATGTAATTCATGTG